TGTATAGACATAGATCTAACATTTATTACTAACGAAACACACACACAGAAACACACAAAATAATAATAAAAAAAGAAAAATAACAAACAACAAATTTTTTTTAAGGAATAAGGTACATTTTAATGTGTAATGTGTGTGCTGTGGTTAAAACTGGCGCTGGCTCAGCAATATGCTGTGGAGCAGACGTGTTCCACAGCGCTGGTCATACTGAGACCACAACAGTTTGCGCCTCAGCAAAAAGAAAAAGAATTTAATTATCCAATAAATACTTATTAGTAATATTTAATTTTAAACATATTCACGCAAACTGTCATCCATGTTTTTATATAGAAACTATCTTGTCGGAAATATCACAACACATTTAAAAAAAACATTTTAAAAGTCGCTAAACCATAGATATTTTTTAAATAACAAAAATGGGCAGGAAGTTCTTTTGGTAAGTGATACCAGATAGTGCGTGCCCAGTCTTATATACACCATTGTATATTTAATAAAAACAAAGTTTTTAAATATATTATTCAATCTACATACAACAGTATTCATTATATCGTTGTTGTAGAATGATAACGTATGTACAGAGAACCAAACATTACGGGAAACGAAAAAAATAATAATTTCGTCTAAATATTAGCTTATGTGTTTTTGTCTATAGATTTGGATGCTAAAACTTATTTATTAATAACAAAAATAAAATAATAACATAAATAAAAAAAAAAAAATGGTTTTTTGATATACGTGGTTATATACAGTGACGATATATTATTATTTAGGAAATGCAATCACAAATGCATGTATAATAATAATTGTATTAATATATACTACGTTTTAAGAACTTCTGGCGATCCGAAGTGAGCCTGATGTAACATACTCTTACCTTCAACAGGCATCAATATTTTTCCTTTATATAAAGATTATGATTACTTACCGCTTAATAAACTCCGTTATAATTTCAATCATCACAAAACACACACTACCCTTCGCGCCAATGTGTCAAACGCGACTCGCGATTCGCCAAAGCAGGTCGTTGAACTCTGCGTAATACTTTCGCTATTAAAATATTCGCGACAATTGCAAGGCGTGTGAGAGTGTCGATTGATAGACACTGAGTGGCTGGGGTCGGTGCAGTCACGCGCCGGGAACAGTGGACCATATGACCTTATCGTTTGAGTCAGAGATATGGAACTGACCCAACAAACGTGTTTTGTCGAAGTACAGTGTAAAGATGAAAAAGTCTCTATAACTTTTGGATTAACACAAAACCCATACATTCTTTATAACGCAACACCCACTCTCTATTACGAAGAAATATTTTCATATTTAGAGATCAACAACATACTTAAGTGTAATTGTTTTTAAAATCAGCTTACAAAACTAACCTATTTCCGAAATTTATAAGAAAGCCCTGAGGTCATACACAGCCTTCTCGCCCTTGTTATTGTTAATTGCATTAACACATGTGCCATTATTCTTAGATTACAGGAAATTTTGGTCTCAGTTACTAAACGCAGCATCGTCACCTATCTAATATAATATATATATATATATATAAATTATAATTGTAATTGGTTAAATTTGGTTTCTTTTCTCGACCCTCCGTATAACGAAAAGTCGAACCCTTGAAATTCGTTATAAAGAGGTTACACTGTACTTCTATTTTCTAAATTGTACCTATGTGTTTTTTTAAATGGGAGCATCTTAGGCCGGCCATGCACACACTAAAATGGGTGTCCCCCATTCTATGTGGGTTTGGACTTTGGGGTAATCTATAAAAAAAAGTATTGTCAAAAAATTTAGTGGGGCTGCCCTTCATTTAGGGGCCATTCAAGTATAACGTAAGCACTATATTGGGTCTTTGATTTTCTTATTTGGTGATTACGTCAACAGTAAATATTTACTTTTTTACACATATTACCCACACATTGTCTATGCTTGAAAACGAAATGCATTTTCGAGAATTCCTACAAAAAATTAATATGTTTATGTACTATTATTTTTGAGAGCTTTGCTTACTTTTACTGACAAGAGGAGGTGGGATAAATTGCAGTAAATCTGCTTTCGTGATACTTGAACGGCCCTTTAGCGGTATAAAAACGCCCTATTTCATAAAAGTCGGTCAAGGCGTTTAGGAGGTTACAATTAGCAGGGATTTTTTCATATAGGCCTACTAAAAATATAATAGGCTGTGTAAAAAAGAAAAACATGGCGATTAAAAAGAGTGGCGGAGAGTTTATTGCTAGTTCTTCTCTTCCGTTCTACGCCCTTGATTTGAGAACTGGCACTAAATGTAAAATTAGAAGCATTAATATGTATTTCTTTACTGACAAGTCATAAGTGTACAATGTGTTACCCATATGATTAAATGATTTTTGAATTTGAATTTGAATAAAACACGAAAATTTAATAAAACTATATGTGAAGATTTGTAATTGGCCCATAATGGTATATATATACATCTATTTCTGTATTGTGCTGTGAATCTTCTGAATAAATAAATAAACTTTAATTTAAATAAAATAATCACCACGAATGGCGGAAAATATCCCTTTTGTGAGTTATTCCCTGCGAATGCTTTTAACGATACACAAATATAATCTATATTGGAAATGTATGTCTTGAAGAGCTTTATAAAAAGTCCTTAACAGTCTTTTGTCTCTGTTTTATATGTAATAGTCCGGTCAATATAGATATTTGAAATAACAAAAATTCCCGCATAACCAAAACTTGGTGGCTGAGCTGTTATAGCTACAAAAGTTGTTTGGAGTTTGTTTCGACATTTCTTCTCAGGGCAGTCAGTTAGGAAATGTCGACTTCATCTAGTTTAGGAAGACATTGTAAAAGTGATTTATATAGTCCTACTTGCAAGAAAAAAAAAAAAGAAGTTATTCCGGGTCAAAGGTCAACATATTAGGTTTTTTTATTTTTTTCTCGAAAACGCTAAGTTTTATAAAAAAAAGCACACATAGGATCGATGGGGATTTTTAAAACTTTATTTGTAATGGTAAACCCTAGCTCTCCACCAATTTTTGGCTTTCCGGGAATTTTTGTTATTTGACCACTATTTTTATTACTAACTTGACCGGACTATAAACCATTTGTACGGTACCTGGGTCATCGGGTGCTTTATATAATAGAAGATTTTTGTTTTACTCTATAATAACCACTCGCGTATAACAATAGAATATGAGCGAAATAATGAAATGTTAATTGCTATGTAACGAATGAATGCAATTTAACAGTCAAAGATAGTGCCTACGTCTGGCTATGCTCTCGGGGTGTAACTCCCATGATTTAGTTAATTGCTATGAAACGAATGAAAGCAATTTAACAGTCAAAGAGAGTGCCTACGTCTGGCTATGCTCTCGGGGTGTAACTCCCATGATTTAGTTAATTGTAATGAAACGAATGACTGCAAAGTAACAGTCGAAGAGAGTGCCTGCGTCTGGCTATGCTCTCGGGGTGTAACTCTGACGATTTAGGTAATCGTCACTCTTATAAACGTGAAAAAATGTAACAGTCAAAGAGAGGCCTACGTGGGAAATGTGTCACGCTCCGAAACTAAGAAAACTGTAGTGAGCAACAAATACTGCAAAGGCTTGTAACCCATTAGTCTTTTAAAAGAGTGCCTGCGTCTGGCTATACTGGGAAAACTTAATATAAAAACGTCACTATTATAAGTAATCCATGCGCAAATGTACAGTCAGGGCAGCATAGCAAGTTGTCACTGCGCATGTAACTAAGAAAGCCTGAGTGAGCAAAAGCTACAGCCTAGGCTATCTACTCCATTCAATCTCTTCGATAAAAACATACATCTGAAAATCGCTAAGTCGAAAAAGTTTCTAAAACTCAACAGTGCTAACTCAAAATACTTTATTCAAGTGGGTAGACCAAGTCGCTTTTGATTGCAAGTTAAATTAATATGTAATGTACAGTTAGCTACACATGTTCGCAGTCTAGGGCTCAGCGGGGTATCAAGCACTGGCAAAAAGTCATCCGACTCTTTTTAAACTCGCTAACGTACATTCCGATAAAGATATATATATCTCTCAATATAGCTTGGGACACTGATACATTGGTAAAAGAACCAGAATCTACAATCTTTAATATATCACTTATAGGCAAACATTTGACGAAGAGATAATACAAATATTAAACCAAACAATTAAATTATAAAAACTAAATGAAAATCGATTTAAAAGTGTGAGGGAAGCTATGGATATAGCTCGTAGCGCTAGACAAACCAAATTTATAAGTATAGATCTATATTTCCACAATCGACATTGAGCTCTCTAATCTATGGCGTAGAGGCCTTTGAGGAAATAATTTCGAATTTCCTAACGCGTTGTTCACCGCACCGTGTCATAGAACCATACCAAATACCAATACGTACTATTAAATAATAATCCTACAGCTAACATAAATTATATATAACAAAAAGACTTAAGCCAAAGATGAAATACATAATATATAAAAAAGGTTCAAACATTAAAGAAAGGAAAACATCAATAAACATTATTGAATACATTTATACTTATATTATAAAGAGGAAAGATTTGTATGTATGTTTGTAAGGAATTGGCTCAAAAAGTACTGGACCGATTTTAAAAATTCTTTCACCATTTGAATGCTACATTATCACTGATTAATATGGGCTGATTGCAAGAAACAAATACTACTACTAAAACTACAATAATGTTACCCAAGGTGTAAAAAAATGCCTATAAAATATATTTCATCGCATGCGCTGCGAAAACTATTGATGACAGAATAAAAAAACTTCCACATTATTAAATAAAAAATCAATATCAACAAAAAGTGTTTAATTCCTGTAATTTTTTTACGAAACAGTTAATGCTACAAAAACAGTTAAAAACATATTTTCCTCCGCATCGACGCTGTAACAAGAGAACGCTTTCGAAAGTACTTTCTGCCACGCACCACCTCTTTCTGGTACCTGTCGAGGTATTTCCGAACCGATTTTGATTAAACTTGGACTGTTTCGAATGATAGAGGACTTAGGTATGTCTAGTACACAAGCTGGCCAGAGTGACTTCGTACCGGCTAACAGTCAATGAATGTCGTGCTACAGAGAAACTTCACAACTTTATTAAGAAATTAACACAAAAATACGCTCGCAAATATTTGACAACCAAAATATATGTCCTTTTTCGTTTAAGGTTATTATTTTAATTACGCTATTAACCGAATATTGTAGATATATATTTATTATATTAAATACTTTCTTTAATTTGAGAGGAGAGTGAGTAGTGGCCTAGTGGCTTCAGCGTGCGAATCTCATTCCTGAGATCGTAGGTTCGAACTATCCATTAGACCCAAAACGTCGATGGCGTGTGTCAGGCACAGGAGGCTGATCACCTACTCGCCTATTAAATTGACACATTTGTCAATGTCAATCATGAAACAGATACAGAAATCTAAGGCCCAGACCAGAAACGGTTGTTGCGCCACTGATTTATTTTAGTTTACCGTATCGACGGAATGAACATCCAATATTTGACAGTTACGAACTCGTGAACATTTTTTATTGCATTTTTTTGCCAATTTTCCAATATTTGTATTAGTTATTCTGCTATTATAGGGAACAGACAAATACAACAAATAAAAAACAATGAAACATCGGTCCAGCCGTTCTTGAGTTATAACTGTTCGAACTATCGCGACTTTTATATATCTATATATTTTATATGAGAAATTACAGGACAAAATAACAAAATTTAAATAAAATATCACATCCGCTGTCAATCTTATAACTAAAGTTTTGACCTCAATTGAAAATATTATTTCAGTTTCCACGAAGGCGATTTCACAACTTTCTATTATACCATTGTATTAATTTACGCGGAAACGTGACGTCAGTGTCGCGATTGTCAAATGTCATTCTAATTTATTTTTTTAATCGCTTTCCGGCGAGGCTGACGTTTTTAGACCTAACTCGTGGAACTGAAATTTTGCTAAGTTATAGAACCGCGGCATTTTGTTTGTCTTTATATATTCAATAATAAGACATTATCGAATGAAAGTAAAAATAAAAATATGTTTATTTCTAAATATATTTTTTTTATAGTTTTAAAAATTCACCCCTTATTATTTATTTATCTGTTTAATTTATGTCATCTGAATGTTTATGTACCAAATATGTAATGCAAGTGGTGATAAATACATAAATAAATTTTAATGTTAGGAAAATTTGTTAATAATTTGGTCCAAAGAAGTCAGGCATTTTGTGTGATTAAACTTGAATTTGAAATCTATTAATGAACACATATAACAACGAATCTTAGATTAAACCAATACTATATATATATACAAGACTAGATATATATAGAGTGTTCAAAGGAGTTGTTCGGATTAATACCTGCAGCTGAGTTTCGTCTTCGGATGTCGAGGCAGAGTACGAAATTCCACCCGTATCACCTCGACGTCCGCCGTTCCACAACTGAGCGTTTTTCAAGGCAGTTTTTGCCGCGCACCACCACTTTGTGGAACCAGCTGCCCACTGAAGTATTTCCGAACCAATTCGACTTAGGGTCCTTCAAGAAAAGAGCGTACCAATTTTTGAAAGGCCGGCATCGTACTCGCGAGCCCTCTGGCATTGAGAGTGTCTATGGGCGGCGGTATCACTTAACATCAGGTGAGCCTCCTGCCCTTTTGCCCCCTGTTTTATAAAAACCTTAGCTCTCACTTCCATATAAGTCACTTTAAAATCTCTTTTTTTATCCTACTATTACTTCCACTAACAAACTATACATTGACAAAATGAATGAACATTAAATAACTGAATAAATGCGGTCGCAAAGGTAGCAGTTTCGAATGCGCCTGCGTAGTTTTTTGGACACTAATGAATGGTGGATAATTATATAATTTACTTTGTTTTTTTTGAAGTGAAACTTCTTTAGGCGCATGAGGGTAAAATTTTTACGGCGAAACGCAATAATAATAATATTAGCGTCACGAAGATGTGCAGCGTTTTTGTTGAAGAAAAGGGAGAGAGCGATTGAGACCAATTGAGATAGAGTGAGAAAGGACGAACGTAGCATGAAGTAAACAGCCATGGAGCGAAAGTAGGGAGCAAGCAAGTGAGAAAGATTGAGAGAGAGTAAGGGAGATCGAGAAAAATACACCCTATTGGTTGATGTATTCGTTTAGTAGTTACATATTAGAACTTTAGATGGCAATTCTGTCGCATAACGTCTTGTGCAGTAAACGCAGATTTTTTATTAATTTATATTATCATAAGCACGTATACAGTGTAAATATAGATATACAAATACATCGAGTGATCATATACTGGTACATGATCATCTATTGGGGCTTTTACCTCAGTAATAATTAATTTACAAAGAGTTTCATGTGTACTTTGTACGCACGTACTTTATTTTGTTTATCATCTAAGTGACATATATGATTTAATGAGAATAAACCTCTTTTATCCTGTCTCCAATTTTCCCTTAGAAACGATTTGACTAAACATACTCTGTTTTGTATTTCAGGACGAACATACAATGACCTAAACCAGTATCCGGTGTTCCCATGGGTGCTGACCAACTATGAGAGTGAGGAGCTGGATCTCAGCCAACCCTCAAACTACCGGGACCTGTCTAAGGTAAAATTTTGGTTTATTCTAGGAGAATGTTTTGTCACGTTTTTTCATTTGTCAAGTGATACAAGAGTGACAAGGATGGTTTATATAGAAGCGTTTTAAGGATGCCCAAATCCTTTGTGGCGACATCTATAATCTGTCGCCTGAATTAATATGGTAGGTATATGTTGCCAGAAGCACAGAGCTAAAATTAAATATGGGACAATATAGACTTTAATAATAAATAAAAATAAATCGTTTATTTCAAAGAGCAGTGAGCAGTGTTGGCCTAGTGGCTTTAGCGTGCGACTCTCATACCTGAGGTCGTATGTTCGAGCCCCGGCGCACCAATGGACGTTCCTTCTATGTGCGCATTTAAAATTTGCTCGAACGGTGAAGGAAAACACCGTGAGGAAACCGACTTGTCTTAGACCCAAAAAGTCGACGGCGTGTGTCAGGCACAGTAGGCTGATCACCTACTTGCCTATTAGATTTAAAAATGATCATGAAACAGATTCACCTAAAGAGGTTGTAGCGCCACTGATTTTTTTTTTTCAAAGAAAATCGTACATTTAGTTCGATTAATTATAATAAAAAACGTGTGTGTACCTATGTACAAGCATTAGAAGTTATACTTCTTTGGCGTAACAAGATAAAAATCTTTTCAAAAATTGTAGTCTACGTTTGCAGAAAAAACGACACTAACAAAAGAAAAAACTAAAATGTTGACTACAGCCAACTTCAGGGTCTCGGTTTTTTGTGAAAATGCGCGCGCATCGTAAAAATTTACTCTCATCATTTTTTGTCTAACGCGCCAAAAGAAGTATAACTTCATAAATCCGCACAATCAGCTATACGTAAAAATAGGCATGCATATAATAAAAACATTGACATAATGTCATAATAATAAGTTGAAAGCTAAATACAAACTAGCTGATCGCTGTGTTACCTTTTGATGTCTTTGTTTATTAAAACTGGCATAAAGTGAAAACTATTACCATAATACATAAAAAAAGAGAAAGCTGAATACACATAATAAGGAAAGAAATTGTCTAGTAAATATGAGATTTGTTGACATGTGACAAGCATCACACACAGGCGACGCCATCTTGTATGGACAAGCTTTTTGGCGGGCTCGTTTTGATTTAAATTTTAAAGTCACTCAACAAAATTAAATTTAATAAATTGTAAAGGTTTTAGTCTTATAAATCTGAAGTGGTCTTTTAAATCGTAATCATGCTTTGTTTCACGTTCCTCACATCAACACCTATGCAAAAAACTCAGTTTTGTATCGCGCAGCCCATTTACCTTGACTTGTTTAACCTATTGCGGAATCTTAAAAGGAGTATTAAAGATATCCATTGCGCTAAATCACCATCACACAACACAGCCGAATTAGGTATTACGTATTTCATAAATTTATTGATTTTTTTCCTTTCGTTAAATTTTTGGAACCTTTTTGTATATATTCCATATTTGGCTATATGTTTAGTACCTAGTAAAACCGGCACCACCTGATAATTATATTTTAAAAACAAAAACCATTGCAACATAGTATACAAAGATCCTTTATATTTCAATAGCCGAAATGCTGTTACATGATTTACGAACCACACTTACATGATTTACGAACCACTCTTAGTTCTTACTAAGTAACGTTTCCTTGTAGAGCGTGAGAACAATGTGTCAGCACAACGGTCAGTAGGCCTTTAAGAATAGGATATAAATATAATAGAATACTTGTAATATTAGTATTAAACGGACCTCAAATCGGACTGGTTGTACTATTTTAACTTTAAGTTTTTAAAAACCCTTATTTCGCGGACTCACTACTTGACTGGCGCTGAGGACAGGATAGTGTCTAGTGACGTACTTCTCAATTTCGGTTCGAGCATCAAATTCTGCTTACCTAAAAAGGGGAAACTACTCGCGATGCTAAAAACGGCTATTCAAAAGAACAAATAAATCAAGAACAAAAATCCAAAAGCTTAAGGGTGTTTTGTGGAGTGTTGAGGCAGCGATTACTGGTAACACCTTTTCACCTTTCAATCCAGCCCTCTCCACTTTTCTTTTGTTATTTTGAGATCGACATCTCTCATCTGAGTTTTAAGACTTTGTTAGAGTTAAATTCATATGGTAAATTGTAATAAGTAAATTTAAGAAACAGAAGTAAGTAGGTTAGTGCATGAAATTCTGCAACCCCTAAGTAAGTAAAGTTTAGATTCACATCAAATTCTGTGAGCTATAATTATTGAGTAATTGTGTAATTATTTAATCAAACAATTCCTGAAAGAATACATAAAACCCAAAAGAAATATTTTATATATTTCGGAAATACGGAACATCGCAAACAATTCAGCAAATGGTAATTAGGCTTTTAAAGGTGTATCAATTCAATTTTATGAGTGTACGGAAAGAATCGTTTTTATTGACGATGAAAATGAACAGAACGCCGTTATTCTGAAATTTCATCTCGGAAAAACCTGTCACAGAGGTATTCAAGAAACTTTTACTCGCATCAGGCGACACTTTTTTGGAATAACATGAAAGAAACTATATCAGCAGTAATTAATTCTTGTGAAGCCTGTAAACATATGAAATATGACCGAAAGCCGTTGAAACCAATTTACAGTTAACTCAAAAGCAACATGCCCCATTCCAGGAATTATTTATAAATATATTTAGTATCGAAGGAAAAAATACCTCACCTTAGTTTACGCTTTTAGCAAACTAAGACAGGCAATTGAAATTACTATCAAAGGCACACGACGTTATCCGCGCACTAATAAAATACTTTTCATTTTACGGCATACCTAAGAAAATAAGCTGCGTCTCTGGTACTGAATTCAACAACGATCTATTGAAAGAAATATGTCACTCTATAAAATCCATATACATATCGACACACCTAGGAACCCTAATTCAATGGGAATAGTTAAACGTTTTCATTCCACCTTAATTGAAATTTACAGACTGACAAAATACGAACAACAATGTACCGACGCCGCATCTATTATATCACTCATCATGGCATATAATAATGCGATTTATACTGTAACAACTTTAAACCGTTTGAAGTAGTGTTTGGCCATGTAGATTCTGAAAACGCATTCAATATAGACTTCGAGAAACGATACTTGCAAAAATTAATTAAAGATCACGCCAAAGAATAAGTTTTATACAAAATCATTCTGAAAAATGTTAACGTTTAAGGAAAACTCTAGAGAAAACCTCGATCCGACGTCCCGTTACAGAAGGGAAAACAATTACAAAATTAATAAACACTCGTAGAAGTAAGTACAAACCTTGTTTTGAAAAGGCCATAGTTACAGGAAAACCTGAAAGAAACACCATCCCTATTAAAATTAGAGGTAAACACAAAAAGGTACCAATTAAAAACATAAAACGACCTCCAAAGGTGGTGCTTAGTGATCACGATGACACTCACGAGCCCCAGCTTGGGCCTTCAACTTCAAAAGGTTGAAAACAATTCAGGGATCCGTAAGACAGGGAACATCCTTCATCAAACAGGATAACTGGCTTATTTTTAAAGGTATTAGATTTGAATGGCCTACTAATGGAATTAGAATATAACAATAGGAAATATAGTAATTTTAGTAAGATAGTAAGTGATGATAAGCCTTTTTAAAGAATTTTTAGGAATTAGGGAACAAGTAGAGTATTTGCAAAGAATAACTACTGAAAAGATTAGGCAAATAATCCCTTCAACCGAGTACGAAGAGGAATATTGAACCCTCTAGGCTCTATTATTAAATGATAACTGGAAACTTAGATCAGGAAGATGTCAACGATATGAACAGTTAATAAATCAATTAGGTAATCAACAAAATTTCCACAAACAAGCGTTTAACAGTTGTTTTCATTTAGATCTCATTAATTATCGAAATATTACACAATCTCAAATTATGGACGAGACTAAAACGTGTAAAAAAAAAAATTATTTAAAAGACATAAGTACTAAAGAAAATAATGCAGTATACTCTACATATGTTTTAAGTTTATATAATCTTTTTGTAAGTAATTTTAGAACGCTTTATAAAAAATAAGCGAATAGAAATTGTTTGGCTTTCACCAAAACCAATGTTTTACATTTATTACAGATTTTAATTTATATATCACAGTCAGAAAATCTTTTATCCACCCACTTGGGATAATTTAGTTAAATTAGAAGATACGATTAATGTTAAATCATACATGATAGACAGGAAAATAACTTTTGTATTAGAGGAGCTTTAATAACCAATTCAACTTATAGTAATAAAATTTCCCTTACCTATCTTTCATGACCCTAAAAACCTAACCCTTATCCCTGTTCCTGGTGAAAGGTGTAAATACTTACGCTTATACAGCCTTGCAAACAAGTCTCTGGGGAAAATTATCTCTGCACAAAGAAAACAGGGGCACCGTATCCTGAAACGACATGCATTAGGACTGATGACCTTCAGGAAAACCCATCCAACTGTGACCAGAATACAGTAATTAAGAAGAGGTAAAGGTACAATAATAGTAATCAAATCATATTAAATAATTGCAAAATGAGATAAGCCGAAACTCTATAGGGAACATAATATACATTACTATAGATTAACCCTGCGATCTCAACATCAATGACATCCAATTAATCATCAGGTTCATATACAGAAAATATTATCAGAACGTATCCCATCCATAAGCTGCTGGAGTTACAGTCAACAGTGAACTCTAAGGAAAATCAGAATCCAGTAAACTTACAAGGAATGGAGCTCAGTGACCGGTAACACATGTCTTACATGCTGTAACAACTTAGAGATAGTGATAGTGAAATGGGCAATTCAGTGAAAGTGAAAAGCATTAGTTTAGGCACTCTTTTATTGTATTTAATTTTGTTTTTTATAAAAAATAAGATTATTAAATGTTGCAGTGGCGAAATAATCAGAATTTGATGTGCAATCCCTGATAATTTCGCTCTTAAGGAGGGAGGAGTTATATAATCCCGTGTGTCACCACCATAGGATAATTATATTTTATATAAACAAAAAACCATTGCAACATAGTAGTACAAAGATCCTTTATATTTCAATAGCCGAAATGCTGTTAATATTTACGAACCACACTTACATGATTTACGAACCACTTTTAGTTCTTACTAAGTAACGTTTCCTTGTAGAGCGTGAGAACAATGTGTCAGCACAACGTCACGTAGGCCTTTAAGAATAGGATATAAATATAATAGAATACTTGTAATATTTAGTATTAAACGGACCTCAAATCGGACTGGTTGTACTATTTTAACTTTAAGTTTTTAAAAACCCTTATTTCGCGGACTCACTACTTGACTACCTATAACTGTTTTTGTTATATATAATTTACTAGCAGACCAGCCAAGCGTTGCTGTGGCTAAGGTTTTTGTTATATTACATAGTAGCAAACTATTCAAGGGAACGGTAGAACACCAGTCATGCTTTTTTGGTGGTTATGCCATTAGATTGTAGCTTATGTGAAACGTTGGTACTTTCAACACAGCGCCATCTGTTAGAATTGTATCAAATAATAAACAAATATTTAGCAATAAAATAATATTACGGGTATAAATTGAGATGTAAGCTATCCTATCTTTTAAGTTGGATCAAACTGCACACGGTGTGCAAATTTGATTGATATCGGTTCGGTAGTTTAGGAGTCCATAGCGGACAAACAACGTGACACGTATTTATATAATATACTAGTAGACTCGCCCAAGCGTTGCTCTGGCTAAGATTTTTGTTATATTACATAGTAGTAAACTATTCAAGGGAAACGGTAGGAGAACTTATGTGAAAGGTAGATGTCAGCTTATGTGAAACGTTGATAATTTTAACACAGCGCCATCTGTTAGAATTGTATCAAATAATAAACAAATATTTTGCAATAAATTAAAATTGCGACTATAATTTGAGATTTAAACTATCCTATCTCTCAAGTTGGATCGAACTGCACATGGTGTGCAAATTTGATTGATATCGGTTCGGTAGTTTAGGAGTCCATTGAGGATAAACATTGTGACACGAGATTTATATACATTAAGATTAAGATGTTAGCTGTTACGAATATAGTATATAGGTTTAAAGGCTTTTATTCTCATAACAGACAATAGTCACTTACATGAGAACTTATATACTAAAGATACAATTTATCACGCCGTGGGTCATTGAAGAGCTTCAAGGATGAATTAGCGTAGAACTTGGCTGGACTTTAATTTACGTAGAGAACTGGGATCACTCAAGAGATGGTCTTTAAGTCTTCATTAAAGTATTGCCAGGCTATCTGCACTTTTGCACGCCTCACTAGCAAAGCGGAGGCAGTGCTCTACTCTCGACATGTCAAAAAACCCAGTCTTTCGAAACTTGAATGACTTTTTTCTCACTAATATAACACTTACAGGATAATATGAGTGCACTAAAATCGAGTTAAATAATCTATCAAGCACATATGGTATTTTTTATGAACAATTATTTTGTTTAACATAGTAAAAAATAACATTAAAATCAATCATTCTTGGACGTCCGTCAGTCTGTTTATGGATCCATGTATGTGGCAGAGAAATTGGTCGAAAAATGTATCGTACCAGAATACTTTTTTTCTTATTATATAAAGTTATACCCTGGGCTGATTCCTAGTTAATATTAGCGTTCTAAGTACTGTCGTTTAATTATAATTTGTAAAAAACTAAAATACGACTGTGTATTTGTATATCTATATATACATTTATTTTAGTATATTTTTTCCTCACCTTAGAGTTATGGCGCCACTATATATTTTTTTATTATATTATTGTTTTTTTTTCAATTCTTGCCTATTTTTACTAATAATTTATTTGTTATTTTGTTTTAAAAAACTTGAGTTTCTGATTTAGAATTTTATTTTTAAATGTGAATGACCGCTATGAGGCGTGCGCTTTTGGATTTTCCAAACTTTTTATATTTTGTGGAAGTCTATTATACCGCAGCGATCCCTCAACGCTCAATGTTTTTTAGCGTTTGGTTCTATATACTTAGTTAGAATTAGCTTATGAGGGCGTCGTTAATCGTGATTTTTTTAGATTAATAAGATGGTATTGTGTTAAATTTTTTGTGTAGCTTTAAGTATATACGAGGTCCACGGGCATGTTTTAACATATAACTATATTTCAGCCAATCGGCGCTCTCAATCCGAGTCGTCGAGCCTACTTCGAAGAACGCTACAACACTTGGGAACACGAATCGACCCCGCCCTTCCACTATGGAACCCATTACTCGACAGCTGCATTTGTACTCAACTGGCTAGTTAGAATTGTAAGTACAATTCCTTATTATAAACTCTTTTTAAAGTACTCTTTCGTTTTTGGCTTGTGTTTGGCGCCCTGGCCCATTCTATAAAAAAAAGTGCGTACAAAGTACACATGTCAGAAGTGAAACTTCTTTGGCAATTGAAATAGAATTGAAATAGAATTTCTATAAGGTAATTCGCCCTTCTCACTCTCTCTCTCAACCGGTCTCAAAGGTTCTCTCCCTTTTCTTCGACAAAAACGCTGCACATCTTCGTGACGTTCCGTAAAATTTTACCCTCATGCGCCTTAAGAAGTTACATTTCAAAAACTAATTACAAAAAACCGGACAGTGATAAAAAAACCTTGGAGACGACATACTTTTCATTTCAAAGGAAATTATCATTTCATAGTCTAACAATCAGACATTTTAACAGAGTTGGTCATTGTTTTAATCGCATAATTAATACTCAGAGTCGAGTAAATAGGTCACTTAATGACAATAATTATATGATAAGCCAGCGAAAATGCCGGAAAAGAGGTATTATATTATTACTGTGCTTAAGAAATTGTCGCGAAGAGGAAATTCGTTCGTGTTAAATATTCACTTATAATACCACAAGAGCTCCAGAAGTCGTCAAGTTTTTCAGAGAAAAACTTGACTCCTTCATTTGTTTGCAACGAACCTATCGGGAAATACCCGATAATTTTGAAGCTCGTGTGGTATTCGGGGGATTATTTTTCCGACCCAAATGTCGGCCAATAGAATTGCACCATGAGACGAAATGTACAGTTAACAAATAAGAATTTCATAATGAATAAAACAACTACTTAATACTTTTCTTGAAGCAACTACCAGAGAAAATTTTCAAAAAATTATCAGTATAATACCATGTAGGTTGTACCACGTGACGTCGAATGGTGCAATTCTATTGGTCGATATTTGGGTCGGAAAAATAATCAATTATATTTGTATACATAATTATTTGTAAAAACTTAGTATCCATCAAAGTCCAACCAAAATCAGATGATGGGGCGTGGTTAAACCCAGAGAATTTTACACCCCAATCATAATTAGGTAACTAAAAGACTCAAAGGAATGTATGGAACGGACACAAAAGTATGTCTACATATGTTTTTGGTTTCAAAGTACCAGGGACACATGATTGTGTGATAATCTTCGATACCGGCATACCGGTAGTCTTTCCTAGCATTCCAATAATGTATACGTTACTAGGAAGTTATAACAAGTTTAGTATTTATAAATATAGCGGTATAATATTGATCAGCTACTAGAACAATTACAAATTATTAACATACTGATAAAATTGGATGCGTTATAATTCCCTGGTATATTTTTAAATACAATACTACGTTACCAGGGACTTGAGATTCAAGTTAGCCTTATTAATAAAGATTTACAAATAATATTAGGTGGCCGGAAAAGTTGGTAGGCTAACATAGAAGAAAAAAATATTTTGGAAGTTATACTTCTTTAGGCGCGTTATGAAAAATTTATGAGAGTGAAATTTTACGATGCGCGCGCACCGTGACACAAAATTAACAGAATGAAGTTTTAAAAACAACATTCGAATAATAATAGAATTTATGTTACACTTAATGTAAGAGAATAATAATAAATATTTATTTATTTAATTTTTCAAATGTAAACTGAACTTTATTGACTGTAATGACTCCTTTTCCAGTCTTTGATTATTTAATTGTAATTAATTATTTGCATGCAATCAAAAACTATTTTTAATAATGCCAAAGAAGTATAACTTCTTACGCGCGTACATAAGTACACGCACCCTTTTTTTTTGATAGAATTTTGTCTTTAGCTTCAAAATAGGCTTCAGTTTCTGTCCAGCAAGCATTCTCTCAGCGCAAAAGTCGCTGGAATAAATTAGCATTTATTACGATTCAGCTTCAAACTCAGAATTATATTATTGGGATGCAGAACTGTAAAAAAATGTCCTTAACGGCATTTAAAAAAACATTAATAAATAATGTATATTTATTTATTTTAATTTTTCTATGTTACCAGGAACCCATGACTACAATGTTCCTAGCATTGCATGGCGGCAAGTTCGACCATCCAAACCGGCTCTTCTCATCTATTGCCCTATCTTGGAAGAACTGTCAACGCGATACATCCGATGTGAAGGTAGGTTCGAGGTAGTTGTCGAGTATTTGAAGTGGAATATGCATTGATATACAAAAAACCCAAGATGCACAGTCTCGAATAAAAGTAACGCTCGAAAGTGTCCCGAAACACTATTTCTGTCCATAACAGTATATGTTACAAGCATATATTATTGCAAAATCAACCTTACGCGAATTGCTTAAAGTTGTTATTACAACGCAGTGTACTTAAAGCAATAAAATTTTACGACCGACCGTGGTCGGTAGGACAAGGTATTGAGTGGAGTCGAACATGACTTTTTTATTTACAACTATTTAACATAATTTTAAATTTATCCGACTTTTCGGGTGCTTTACAGCGTGAGTGGTCACGGTGACTGAAGACAAAAGGTGTTGGATGTTAAATAGTTGTAAATTTATAATAATACATAACATTAATCCGGTTAAAAAGTTTTTTCTTTAAATTAAAAAAAATGTTAAATTGGCTACCTCCTGACCCACACTTTATATAGCGTAAATATATTTGTCAAAAACTACACACAAAAAAGTTCAAGAGTACATAAATTTATTTATAAAAAAAAACACAAATAAATAACATCGACTCCACTTATAGACGCGAGACTATTTGAAATGAGCGCACAATTTAGAATGTTGCGCTCATTTTTTGAGGACTATTTTAGACGTTGATTGTGCATCTTGGGTTTTTGTATATCAATGGGAATATGCAAGAAACATACCTATTTTCATTTATTTTTATTTGGCGCAACGCAACAACGAAACGCTCAGCGCAACAGATTACTAAAATTTTAATATGTCAACTGAACAAGCAAAAAGTAATAGAAACTCCTTGGTTAAAAATTTGTAGAATTGTTATTTTTAAATTTTGATATTCTGTGCTTATACGTCACTCAAGAATCGTTTTGACGTTTTTGTATTTTGAATCAAGATTGAATAATGAATTGAATTTAGTTTAAAAATTTAAAAAAAAATTGAACAATTATGCTACTTATATCGTCTTTTGTTTTATATATATATAGGTTATTTTTTATAGTTGAGTCATTGTCTGTTTACCTTAACGTTAATTAGAAATAGGGACGTTTTGCCTAATTTTTATAAAAAAGCTGAAGGCTTCAATTCTTCTCCGCTTTCAAACACCTTATTATTTTATTGTAATATGTATAAATGTTAATGTAAAAAAATCAATAGCGCAACCAACAACGTTTTAGATTTGGGCCTCAAATTTATGTATCTGTTTCGTGTTCAATGTTTTGTCTAATAGGCAAATAGGTGATCAGCCTTCTGTGCCGTCGTCTTTTTGGCTATAACGCTCACGATCCTTTCCTTCACGGTACGAGTTAAATGCTCATATAGAAGGTTTTGTAGCTGGGGTTCGAACCAACACGGCTCAGCTCTTCCATGAATACAAAGTATACCTAAACTTGTCACCTGTATTATTATATAGTTCGTGAGAATTTTTGATTTCTATCAACGGAAGTCAACGCTTCAAAAGATTGGTTTTTTATTAAATAATAATTGACGAAAATTTCGGTTTTTGTACAAAATACGTCCGCTATTTTTTGGCAAATTACACTAACGACGGTAAGGAAGGTATACTCTTGGTATATTAATTACGCTTTTAAATAAGGCCTGAAGCTGTAAAGGCCCTTAAGGCCAACAGCTAGAATCCATCCAAACTCAAAATAACTGAATTCTTATAGTACACTTATGAACGTCAACAGAAAAGATGTTATATTGATTCTAAATTTACACTTACTACCAGTTCGCAAGTCAAGGCCGTAGAGCGGCCAAGAAGAGCTAACTCCGCCACCCTTTTTTTCGCCAAGTTTTGACAAATTGTTTGAACTGAAGCAAATCAATCACAAAAATTAAGATTATTTAAATAATCGTCAAAATCGGCTCATTGGTCTAGTGGTTAGTACCCCCGACTGCGAGTCCATGGGTCCCGGGTTCGATCCCTGGCTGAGACAAACATCGATGTGATGAGCATTTGGTGTTGTGCTTAGGTCTTGGGTATTTAAATATGTATTTATATGTCTATCTATCTATAATATGTATGTACAGTCAAACCTGGATAAGCGAGAGTTCAAGGGAGCACAATCTCATTCTCGCTAATAGAGGTTTCTCACTAACACGAGTTTCTCGCAAATGCCGGTAAATGGGTAGCGTTTCTCTCTTATAGGGGTACGCTGTACGCAGCAATAACAAGTCACAGCATAGAATGTAGTAAATATGTAATATGATAAAATTATGTGCATAATGTGCACAACATCATGATGTACATATATATTTTATTTTATATAGAACTTATTTACACTTTAAAAAATCCTGAATGAATGAGAATGTCAAATTTGTAATTTGTTATTGTATGTGTGTATGTTTATTGTAGCTATAGTTCCTCCTAAATAATATAAATAAATAAAGCTCGACTGTCGCTTATAGAGGTATAGATAAGTAGCAGTCTCACTTACGGAGGCTCATGAGGGAAAAACTACTCCCCCTACAGAGGTTTCTGATTCTCGCTAATAGAGGTTTTGGGAGCTAAAATGACGGGTCCCGGCTATTACTCTCACTTATAGAGTTTTCTCACTTATCCAGTTCTCATTTACCCAGGTTTGACTGTATATCCGTTGCCTAGTACCCATAACAAAAGCTTCACCAGCTTAGCATGGGACTAGGTCAATTGGTGAATTGTCCAATCCAATCAATCAATCAATCAATTTATTAAGTGATGATACTCTAATTTTGCTAGGGAAAATCCTGAAGAGAAGAGCACTCTCTTCAACTGTTACATTCATTCATAGCAATTAACATGTCATTATTTCCCTTATATTCTATTGTTCGCGAGGAGCGGGTAATGCAGAGTGAAACTAAATTTTATATTATTTAAAACACTCCGATGACCCAGTAACAGTACTTTGAAGAAATGTATCTAATATATAAAATTCTCGTGTCACAGTTTTCGTTGCCGTACTCCTCCAAAACGGCTCGACCGATTCTCATGAAATTTTGTGTGCATATTGGGTATGTCTGAGAATCGGACAACATCTATTTTTCATCCCCCTAAATGTTAAGGGTAGTCCACCCTCAAATATTTTATTTTTATTTTTAGATATTTTTTTCTGTTTTTTTTTTTTATGATACAGCATTAAAAAATACATACAAACCCCCTAACTTTCACCCCTCTACGATCAACCCCCTATTTTTTTATTATAAATGATATATATGGCAAAACGACGTTTGCCCGGTCAGCTAGTTATTATATAAATAAAAATTCCTCAACAGGAGCTGATACCAGAGCTCTTCTTCCTGCCTGAGATGTTGGTGAACAGCTCTGGATGTGACCTCCAACTGCCTGATAGTCCCTCGGGCGATGTCCAGCTTCCACCCTGGGCGTCTTCACCGGAGGAGTTCGTTAGAGTAAATCGTATGGCGCTGGAGTCGGAATTTGTCTCCTGCCAACTGCACCAATGGATTGACCTTATTTTCGGATATAAGCAACGAGGTAGTTATGTTTTCTGGACGTCAAAAATGTAGTTGACACAATTCTTGCTAATTATTTTTTTGAAGTTATACTTCTTTAGGCGCGTTATGAAAAATTTATGAGATTTTACGATGCGCGCGCACCGTGACACAAAATTAACAGAATGAAGTTGCCCACTAACGAATTCTTTTTAAACCAGCCGGGCGCCGAGCGTGCGCGAGCGAGATAGATGGGATTAAGCTAATCTACAAGTAAAAAGAAATAGAATATGCGTCAAGTTAGCAGCAATGCCAAGAATTTTGAATGACCATAATGACCTTTGTAGTACCTTTTAATCAAAGAAAGGCGTTTTAATTATTTTAACAAAGAAATTTAACAATACTTTTTCACAAAGACCTATTGTTACTTAGTTAAAAGGTTATGAAACATACCTAGTTATTAAATTGAATGAATAATATAATAAAATAATAATAATTATTATTAATATTAATATTAATTAATAATCGAATAATATACTAAATATTATTAAATTATTAACGTTAAATATTTATTATTAATTATTTAATATTTAAAAAAAAAAGAAAGCCGAAGAAGTATAACTTCTTACGCGCGTACATAAGTACACGCACCCTTATTTTTAACACAGCTTACAGATAACATAAATTATATTTTACCAAGCCAAATAACTATATATTATATTTATTATATATATATTTATTTTAAAACATATTTAGATTAAAAATCAATTTGTTCCTATTGAAAGCAAATTGATATAGTGCTGTAGAAATGTTTACGAAAGTTATAACCGGAAAGGTAACGCGGGTAAAAGTCAGTATCTGTCTGCTCTATGGAGAATTTTGCACATGTTCGCAGTGTAATCATTCCGCCCATGAGCACGTTAATAGCTGAGATTTTCCGTTTCATGCTATATGATGGGCCGAACACGTGAACGTCTTTACATCCATTAAATTATTGAAAATTGTTGCATGGTATCTATTAAGTAACGTGTCAAGATCTAAGCAGGTTTATAATAAGTTTCGATATTTATTAGTAATAATAACAATCAAACATGCAGTATTTACGATTTGCTTAACCTACATTATAATACAAATAATTAAAAATAAAAATAGAATATTAAAAAAAAAATTAAAAAGTTTTGTCAGCAGCATTTCCTCGCTATATTGCGATTGTTGAGCGAGCAAAGCACTCTAGAAGTTACCAGTACTGTCAGGCGCCAACTTAAATCTTTAATTAGCTCTGTACTTGAACCCCAGGGCCCAAGAGTCGCTACTCCAAAGGGAAAATCGAAGCTATAAGTCCAAAATTATATTTATTATTTTTACAAGAACCCATTTTCTAACAAATTATGAATAAGTTTTGAATTCAGATAATACAATGAAATAGATCAGTCTCTTGCAATAGTTCAAAGACGCGCTATAGTAGTCGCGCTATAGACGGTCTTGCCTGAGTAAATTTGTACGCGCTCCTATTGCGAGCGCTTACCACGCCGAGTGTGATTATTTGGTATTCGCAGCCCCCGTGTTCTCCGACGCTAGTGGGTTATGAGGGTTGGTTGGGGTAGATAAAAAAAAGTGCGTGCGTACAAAGTACACATGTCTGAAGTGAAACTTCTTTGGCTAAATAATTTTAAGTCTTCATATTTATACAAATCTATTCTTTCAAGTTCATATTTATACAAATCTAAAACTTTAGATTTCCGAGACTTCGAGGGAGGGAAAAAGGAAAGAAATGTTAGGAATTTAATGAATTAAATTGCCATTAAAATATTAAAAGTGTCGAAAATTAATACAAATTATATATTTTTTTTTAATTTATTTCTTTGATAATAAAAACACGTGGCATTTTAATTTACAATTTGTCATTCGAGATTTCATAAATTCTCTTTAGAAATTTTAATTTTAAAAACAAAATTTCTATAAGGTAAAGGTACACTCTCTCTCAATCGGTCTCAATCGCTCTCTCCCTTTTCTTCGACAAAAACGCTGCACATCTTCGTGACGCTTATATTATTATTATTGCGTTCCATCCGTTTCATGCGCCCAAAGAAGTTTCACTTCAAAAATACGTCATTTCCTTAGAACATTTTCGGCTTTTATTTGGCTGAAATTTACTTAGCTAAACACCTTCACATGACAAGTCCAAATCAACCTAAAAAGACTCCTTTTTAGTATCAATTATATCTCTCTCTGAGTCGGTAACTCGTATCTGAGTGTCATGGTCTGATAGTAACATCTGGCGCGAATAATTCTCCTGCACCAGTTCCAGTGCTTCTTTTACGGTGTATAATTTGGAGGATGACGAGTCTTTGACTTGATCAGTCCATCGTTAACGAACATCCATGCTGCTTTACCCTTCGGTGTTGCCAAAGGGTGCATTGTGTGATTCAAGTACGAAATGTTGTCAATCTAAGTAAATGTACATTTTTCCAGGGCCTGAAGCCGTACGCGCAACCAACGTGTTCTACTACCTAACATACGAAGGCGGCGTTAGACTTGACCAAATACCAGAGGGTGTCACTCGCGCAGCAGTTGAAGAGCAAATACGAAGCTTTGGACAGACTCCTGCGCAGCTTTTAAGCGAGCCGCACCCACCGCGCGCGTCCCCCCCTTCATCTGGCACCGCTGATGTTCTCAGCTCCCCCTGACGACGTGTGCTTGCGACTGAAACTCCCGTCTAACGCTGCTGTCGTCCATGTCTCGGCTAACACGTATCCCCAGCTGGCGGCTCCAGCAGCGCTGACTGTCAGCGCAGCTCGCGCCTTTGCTGCGCACCGATGGTTGGCTGGTGGATGTGCGCATGTCGCTGCTAGGCATCAGGATTTAGCGCCTCCACATCATCCTCTAGTAATGGACCCAGTGTGGGGTAAGATTACATTTTATTCATTTACGATATTAGATATCGTATATATACTTTATATGTAATAAATGACAGGAGTATATGTATATGTAGTGTATATATTAGCATGCTGCACTAGATAACTAAATATAAGGGGGAGACCTAAGAACCTAACAACTCTACGGATCCCTACAGATAAAAAAAAAATCAGTGGCGCTACAACCTCTTTAGGTCTTGGCCTCAGATTTCTGAATCTGTTTCATGATCATTTTTTAAATCTAATAGGCAAGTAGGTGATCAGCCTCCAGTGCCTGACACATGCCGTCGACTGTTTGGGTCTAAGACATGTCGGTTTCCTCACGATGTTTTCTTTCACCGTTCGAGCAAATGTTACATGCGCACATAGAAAGAAAGTCCATTGTTGCACAGCCGGGGATCGAACCTACGACCTTAGGCAACACTGCTCCCTATAGATGTACCCTAACAAATAAATAGTGTTAATAAGCACGGGATGTCTGCACTAAGAGACCTAAGGTAACAGACAGAGCCCTAGTAGGATCAGAGGTTCAAGATGGTGGAGTTATCTCAAAGCTATCAGGCTCACCACGATAATTAAGGGCTTGAAGGAGTCATCACTAAGAGAGGAAGCGAAGGAACACAGAGCAATATTCAAATCTGATTTATTGTTATAAAGCAATAATATAATACTTACACCTTCCACACACTTATTCTTGTGAGCTGTTGGTGTATCGCATCTTCAGCTGTTGGAACAAGCACCTGATCTGTTTCAGTGTGTTACAGAAATTAAATAATAGCTTGCGAAGTGGAACTAAATTGAACAGGATAGGCAAGAAATGAAACGTCATTGATTCCAGTCATTTTCCTAGCTGTTTGATAAAATGTCTGAACGTCATTCAGGCCGCTAGTTGAACGGCGCTGTTTAGTAGCTAGGCTGTTGATTGAACGGCTAATTAAGCTAGTTGTCTGCGACAGATATATAGTGTAGTAGCTGCCCCCGCGAACTTCGTTTCTCCTGAATGTGATTTTAGTTAGCCTACCTTTTTAGGATGGAACATTTTGCTATGCTACCCCTGAGAATGTTCGGTTTTCCAGAACGAAAACTTTTTAGGATTTCCTGTGAATTTTTCTCTATACAAACCCCAGAGTTCAAGTCATAAGTTTTTATTTACAAATAAAAAACAGGGTTTGATCGTAGAGAGGTGAAAATTAAGGGTTGTATGTATTTTTGTATGCTGTATTATAACAAAAAAAATAGTCTAAAAAATAAATGGACCACCCTTAACTTTAAGGGGGATTTAGGGGGGAAAAGGTTGTCCTATTCGCAGACCTAACCGATATGCACACAAAATTTCACGACAGTCGGTCGAACCATTTCGGAGAACATTACATTACAAACACCGTGAGTCGTGACACGAGAATTTTATACATTTCATATGTATAATGTATATTATAGTTATGTTTTACGCAATTTATAGTAATTACTAAAATATCCATTAAAGAATAAAACAGGTTATAAGAATCTATAATCTAAGTGATCGATATAATTGGTAGTGGCAGGTTTAATCGCGATGTACTTAGATTAATTCAAAGAACATACACAATAGACCCATAATTTTTGTAATTTCACTGTGATTAAACTAAAGAAATTGGTTGTACGCCCTTAACGGGTCAAGGCCTCCTTCAGCTTTCTTTCTCCATTCGCTTCCTGCTAACGTTTCAATATCTTCTACACCTATTTTTAGCTCGCCCTCTTCTCCTTCTGGACCAAGGACCAAGCGGTGTCCTTTCCATAATTGTCTTAGTTAATCTGAGAGTAATTCTTACAGTACTCGAATCGGCCTATATAAATAATGTTGAAATTGGTGTTTCCAGCTGCTGGAGGAGCAGCTGCTCTCGCCCGACGTCACCTCGGGGACAACTTCTCTCAACGCGTCCGTGCTCGCACCAACTGCTTCGTCACAACCGTGGACTCACGCTTCCTAATCGCTGCCGGATTCTGGGACAACAGTTTCCGCGTCTTCTCAACTGACACCGGAAAGATCGTCCAAATAATTTTCGGCCACTATGGCGTTGTGACGTGCGTCGCGCGATCGGAATGCAACATAACATCGGACTGCTACATCGCATCCGGGTCTGAAGACTGTACTGTCTTGTTGTGGCACTGGTCGGCCCGCGCTGGGGGAATAGTCGGCGAAGGGGACACGCCAGCACCACGTGTCACACTGACAGGTCACGAGGCGGCTGTGGTAGCTGTGCTGGTGTCAGCGGAGCTCGGCTTGGTCGTGTCAGCCTCCGCGGACGGACCTGTGCTGGTGCATACGACGTTTGGTGAAGCGCTGCGCTCGCTCGAGGCGGGTTCAGGCGCGGCGTCGCCTCAGCAATTGGCGTTAAGCCGCGAGGGGGTTGTTGTGGTGGCGTATAGGAAGGGACATTTGGCGGCTTTCTCGCTGAATGGACGTCTTCTGAGGCGGGAAACGCACGCTGATCGATTTAGATGCTTGGCGCTGTCGCGTTGTGGCGAGTACCTTGTTTGTGGTGGCGATGCGGGCGTGGTGGAAGTGTGGCGAGCGTTTACGCTGGCGCCGTTATACGCCTTCCCGCCAGCTGGGGCACCTGTTTGCTCTCTGGCGCTTTCACATGATCAACGGTAAGTGTTTTTATTATCACCATAACTAATCATTGTTTTGATTGACTGATGTTTTTATTAGAACAGGGGGCAAACGGGCGGGAGGCTTACCTGGTGTTAAGTGATATTGCCGCCCATGGACACTCACATTACCAAAAGGCTCGCAGGTCTTTTAAGTATTAGTAGCTCTTTAAAGGACGCTAAATCGAATTGGTTCGGAAATACTTCAGTGGGAAGCTGGTTCCACATAGTAGTGGTGCGCGGAAAAACTGCCTTTAAACCCTCAGTTGATGTACCGCACATAGCTTGTGATCTAAAAAGCTCCAGGTGTTATCTAAAACTAAAAAGAAGTCTGCTGTTTACGCAAAACAAAAGAAACGTCATCTAGAAACAAAAGAATTAATTGATAAAATCCCAAACTGTCATCCATCAATAAGCAGAACTTGACTCGGAGTTTCATATATTTTATTTTTTAACTGATTTAAGTATATAATTAATTTTTATATTATAAATATTCAAATATCATTACAGGTACCTATTGGCCGGCCTCGAGAATGGTTCACTGGTCGTTTTCCACATCGATTTCAACCGCTGGCATCACGAGTATCAGCAACGCTATTAAATACCAGCAAAGTACTTAATTTTCCAGCAAAAGCACTGAATTTTTCCAGCAAGTACTTAATTATTCCAGCAAAAGTACTTAATTATACCAGAATAAATACTTAATTATTCCAGCTAAAATACTTATTAATACCAGCATTGGTGTAATTGTAAACCGTTTAACTATAGAACTGTCAAAAGTATATTCATTTTTAAAGCGCATTTTAAATATATTTTGCATTCGATTTTGTCTTACTTTTCAAAGATTATTAATATTTAGTAGAAATGTTTGATTTTCTTTTTCTATCTTGTTTTTTATTCTTAAACTTTCAATTATTTCATCTATGGACCGTAAATTTATCTGACAGTAGTAACGGATTTTTCTACTAAATATTTGTATAATCAATATTTAAATATATAATTGCGATGTAATTCTGGTATATTATTGATCGTTAATGTAATTGTTAATTTTGTTTATAATTGTATAAATTGTGTGAGATATTTTAGTTTTAAGTATTTCTTCACATTCCATTTATCGATGTGTACAATCCCCGCAAATTGCTAATGACACTTTCAAATTTAATTTAGCTAACATTTTGATATAACATTATTCATCAATTGATTAAACAATAGAATAAAAAATATCATAGGAGATTCACAAAAAACAACATGGTGGGTGTATTAGTAATCTGTGTATATTGTATTGATTAGTGCCATAGGTCAATTGAGTTGTAACTACAATTATTATATTTCTTTCCATTCCAAACAGTGGTACTTAATAATTACACACGTATGGAGAAGTCATAATATAGCGCTCTTAATATTTGCTCACGTTGCTAAGTCAAACCTAAAGAGTCGTTGCTTAGTGTAGCTCAGAGTTTAATTTAATAAGAGCTAAAATATGTACTTAGCAGTCATTACAACGTTTCTATTCCCTTTTTTCTAATCTAAACTTACATTTAAGATAAAGTCTAGGAAATCTATGAAAATTCACTTCTGTCAGTACACAAGACAGATTATATCGTGACTCCGAATAAGTGTAAGGAATTACAATATTTGTCAAACGAAAATAGTATAGGTTAAAAAAAAAATATGGGCAGGCTAAAGACTTTCGACCATATCGCCTAGTATTACAAATTTTATTCTTAAAATACTTTTAAAACTATGAACGATATGATTGATAGAATTGTCAGATTGGCGCCAAAATCTGAATTTCGAATATGACTTCTCAATACGTACGTGTAAAAATTTATATACTTTTATTTTATCTATGACTTTTATTGCGTCCATAATTTAAGTATTATTTTTTTATTCGAAACATTCCTTAAATGAATTTTATTAGGTGATGGGTATTGGTACTTATTTAAAATTATTCCTCATGTTATTTTTTATTTATTTAATTTTTATTAAACGTCGTGTTGACTTAATTTGCTTTTTATTTTCCTATCATAGAAAAAAAATTTCTTTTACGAGTAAATTATGTTTGATTTCTACAAAAATTACGGTAATGTCACCGTATTTGTCGTAATATTATAAAATGTCAGCCATGAGTTGCTTTTTAGACTGTTAAGCTTTTATAATTTATTACCAAACAAGAAATGTAATAAAACTAGTCGTATAGATGCGTAGACAAATGACAGTCGCGTATACAATGGTAATACGACAATTTGTTTTAAGCTCTAGACATAGACACTTTGCGACTGGCGACACCCACAATCGCCAGTTGAAATTGTATGAAATGAGTAGTGACAAGTGAGTGTCGTTATTACTATACAATATACGCCTGCCGCAATACATAAATCTTTGGCATGCATAATGAAAATAGCAATGTTGGGCATATAGTGTAAAATAAATATTCTTCGATTAAGGCATGCAGCGTGCAGCTACGTAATAGGCTCTGCATTATTATAAGAAACTGTTGTAACTATAATAAGTATAGAGTACAGGTATAATATTTTTGCATTGAATCCTTTGCACCGCTCTTCATTCTGTGATGTAGGTTTTACACTACACTATATTTGTAACTTATCCTACTTGTGCCAAAAACCATGAAAATAAATATCCCATTTAAATAAAAAATAGTTACAAATTATATTATATCACAATTTTTAATTCACGTAATTTTTTAAAGCAGTATGCGTATGCAAATATATTCCCTGTTATTGTAGCATAAGATCTCTTATAGATGTATCGTTATTATTTTATAGTTTCAAGATAAACACGCGCTTTTAGATATAGAAACATTAACTAACTCACCATGCTTTATATTCTATTTAAAATATAATCTAATTTACGAATTACGAAAGAACATACACGAGCAGACTTGGAAGGAATTCCATAAAAATATTTTTTTTCAGTTTGGTAGTTTTCTAGTTAAAACTATGCGCTGTCGCTTAATAAGCATTCATGATGTCTTCGATTCACGGATGTCCATGTGATGATGTTATATTGACGTGATGATTTTCTTGTGCCCGTGGAATGAAATCCTGCAGAAAATTATATATTGGAATCGCTTAAGCGCA